CCTTAGTTTTTACAAGTGAGAATTCAAATCCCCAATCATTTCACCACTTGGAAATCCTCTGGAGTACCGGATTTGTCTTTTCCATGGTTACTTTAAGTCTTTTATGTTTAATCCATATAGCATAGTTGTCTGGAAAAAGGGAAGAACCTACTCCCATTTGCACACTTTCCAGGAAGTCATACATCATAACAGAAAATAAAGTGGGCTGATAATACGGCCTTGTGGAGTTGTATCTGTAAGTCTGTACATTTTTGATAAAGCTGTTCCAACTTTAATTTGTATAGTTCTGTCACTTAAAAAGTCCCTTATCCACTGAAATACTGTCTCTTTTACTCAAGTGTGTTTAGTTTATAAACTTCCCTCCATAGCTTGTCAAAAGCTTTTTCAATGTCCAGGAAGACCATTATCATAAAGTTCTTGGTCCTCATGCTTTTTTGTTTCTCTGTAGCAGGATCAGGATCAAGCTGGGTCAGGATACCAGGAAGTAAGGGTCATGCACCAGCTTACAGACAGCAGGCAAATAGCAAAGTCAGAGACAAAGCAGTGACAGAAGCCAGAGTCTAGGGTCTACAACAAAGCAGGGTCTATAGCAGAAGCAAGCAGGCAGTTTGCATCATTGTTCAGGCCACTCTCTAGGATAGCTTTCTTGTTTATATACCAGCATGAGCCAATCAGTGGGCTGCAGGAGCTGCTACTCAAGCCCTGCTGGGTGGTACTTCCTGCAGAGCCTAGCTTTACAGGGTCCTCCAGAAAAAGTCTCCCCTAAGCTTTCAATGGTAATGTAGCAGCATCCCCAATAGTCCCAGGTTCTAATCTCACAGGGTTTTACACCTTGTTTCTTAATTAGTAGCACCAATACTTGTTTCCATTCTATTAGCAGCAGTCCTTTTTCCATATATCATTATAACAAAATCTTAATAGAATCTTAAGGCTCCCTTCTGACAAGTGTTCAATCTTTACCTAGAGCTGTATTTTTCCTGTTTCTAATGGCTGCAATAAGCTCCTACACACTAACATTTTTGTTTAACACATCATCACTATAGACCCTCCAGCCATATAATAGATCACAGTTATCCTCAATAAACCTCCTTTCCCCTTCCCCCCCGCCCCCAAACTCGTTGTTTTGATTCATATCACTACTGGCCTTTCGGGATTCTTTTCCTAAAGTGCCTGCCTTTCCTAAGTTGAAAACCTCAGTTTCATGGCTTACAGTAAGACCAGATAGATATTTACTTTTACTCTGAAATCCATTCACTTTTAATGTGTTTATATATTTCTGAAAGCTTTGAATCTTTGTTCAATTTCCCACCGAAATTTCTCCAATTTCTTTCTTTTTTTGGCTTTTTGATAATCATTTGTGCCACCGCCTTACATCTTTTATAATTCATTAACTTTTTACTATTCATTGAGTTTTTTGCTTGTTTGTATGCCCTATTTCCTCCCTTGATTGCTAATCTGCAGGCCTCATTCCACCAGAGTACCACATTTCTAAAATGGGAGCAGCTCTATACACACAATTCATTTTCTATATTCTTCTAAAATTGACAATAGTATGATATTTCAGTACTCAAGAAATGGTACCGGGGCAGGCATACAGGAATGTGCTTCTCGTCAGATGGCCAGTAGGATGGTGGCCCTGCCTCTCAAAGGAAGTTAGATGCCTAGGTCCTAGTCAGAGGGAGGCATCTATCTCCACTTGGGATTCATAGCTGTGAACCCTCTCCCAAAGCTGGGTGCCTAAGCCAGCCCTTTCTTGTGAAAAACAATGGGGAGATAGTGGTGATGCCACTTCCTTACATCTAGTATCCCAATGGTTAGAGCACTCATCCAAAATGTGGGACACTAGGATTCCAATTTCTGCTCCAGAACAGGGAGGGGTTTGAACCGAGGTCACCCACATCCTGGATGAGTGCTCTAATCACTGGGTATTTTAGCAAGCGGGCTAAGGTGTGGGTTCCAATTCCTCCTCTGTCTTTTATGCAGGTTAGATGTACTCTGAGCATGTCTACTGACTTGGGCCCCACAGGTGACACAGGCAGGGGAACCCCTAGTTTATGAATCCCACCAGGGTTTATGGGTTAGGCTCAGAGCAGCTTGGTGGTGTCAGGATTTAGGGACTTTGCACATGCCCATTGGCTGAAATTTAGGCACCTATAAGACTTCAGCAGTGGAAACTTAGGCACCTGCTGGGTTAAACAGTGGCTGAGCAAAGGTCTTGTGAATGCCAGTGGTGCAAGGGCACAACTAGAATTTTCCTAAGGAGCAGGTTTTTTCCCAGGTTCCCTACCATCATGTCCAAACCAAGTCACAATCTCTCCTTCTGGAGCAGGCCTGGGAGCAAAAGAGGAGGCGGCAGCATGAAGAGATGGAGCCCTCACCCCACTCCAGGCTTCTCTCCTCCCCTCACATGAAAGAGACTGGGACCGCTCAGTTGCCCAATCATTGTGACTCAGAATGGCACCTAAATGTTGGACAAAGCAGCCTAAAGAGGCTGTTGGGTGTCCTGTGAATCTAATCCCAGATCTCTAATACAGAAAGCTCTTTTAACTTGCAGTGTGTGTGTTATAGATAGATAGATAGTTAGACAGATAGACAGATAGATAGATGTAAGCAGAGTCAGGATGAGCTCTACCCTGACATCTGGTGGCGAGTCGTGGTGGGTTGTGGAAAAGAACTTCAGGGGCTGATCTCATTTGCATAGGCACACCCACCCCGCCTAGACGGTCACTTTGGCTGCTGTAGGAGCCCCAGTTTCTCTGTTATTGGGGCAGGAAAAATAAACTGTTATTATCCTGATCACATGAAACCAGGACAGTTGACCTGTACTTGGCCTTTTGTTATGATGGAGGGACCCACCATCAACTAAGCACCACTCGCTAGGCAAGGGTCATGGGTTCCAAAACCCAGTGAATGGAGAGAGACTCTACATGCCAATTGCACCTTTTCCTCTCTCCACTGTGGAATATCAGAGCTAGTCTTGATTCTACTTGGAGTCTAGTTACAGGCTGCTGAGCTGAATTCACTTTGAGCCAATGGTGCACCAGCACTGAGGCTCCCCTACTACAAGCTGAAATCACTAAAGAGCTAAAATTACTAAGAGCTGAAATCACTGAGTGTTGTGTTAAGTAGTGGGGGGGGGGGCTGAAGATATATTGCAGAGCAGTTCGTCGAGTGGCTCATGGGACAGCTAGCGGAGCAGTTTGCTGGAGCAGCTCACAGGACAGCTGGCAGAGCGGAGCGGCTGGCAGAATGGAGCAGTTTGCAGGACGGCTGGAGTGGCTCACGAGATGGCTGGTGGAGCAGAGCAGCTGGCAGAGCAGAGCAGAGCAGTTCATGGGACAGCTGGTGGAGCAGAGCAGAGCCCCCATGGAGAGGTGGGGCAGTTGGCTTTGGACCACGTAAGGTGCCCCTTAGCTCCCCCCACCCCATTTCCACCCAGGTTGGGAGGTAAAACTCTGCAGATAAACTTTCAGACTCTGGGGCTGCACTGACCAGGAACAGAGACTTTTAGGTTGTTGGACTTCTGGGACTTTGGATGACTTTTGGGTTGCTGGACTCAAGAGCCGAAGAGAAAGAACACGGCCCAATTTGCTTGGGGTGGGGTTTTGCTCTTTGCTCATGGGTTGTGTTATGGATCCTGTTGGTGGTGTTTCCCCAACATAATGCCACGTTGTTTCTCTCTGTTATTAAAAGGCTTTTGCTACACTCAGACTCTGTGCTTGCGAGAGGGGAAGTATTGCCTCTTAGAGGCGCCCAGCGGGGGTGGTATATATTTGTCCCAGGTCACTGGGTGGGGGCTCGAGCCAGTTTTGCATTGTGTTATTGGAATGGATCCCCTAGATATTGAACCCGGCCCTTGTTGCTGCCAACTCTGATGGACAGAAGGGTTACATTCATTTATTTATATATAAGTAAGCAGACTTTATTATATATATATAGAAGTAGGGAGACTATTTTCTACCAAGTGCACTAAACGCCCAGCTGCTCATCTTTTAATGTCAGTGAACAAGGTAAAAGAAGTTGCGTCTGGACAGTGTTCTTTCAGGACGGTCCTCAGCATGCCTTGCTAGGAGGATATAAATAATCTGTTGAATTCAAATCTCTCTCTCTCTCTCCTTTTGAATTAGACATGAGTGTTCTCTCGAACACAAAGTGATGTAGCCTCTCAGCAACAACAACCAACCATCCCAACCCCCCTATTTGTCCCAACAGATTCCAACTCCCATCTCCCTACCACGGTTCCCAATGGATTCTTTGCTCAACCAGTCCCAGCCTTCTACTTCCCCTGGCTCCCAGTGCCAGCCTCCCCTTCCCGCCTTCCTACCTAGCCAGTCCTAGCCTCCCTACCCCACCCAGGTCCCAGTCTCCTTGCCCAGCCAGTATCAGTCTCTGCCTCCCAGGCTCCTTGTGCCAATATATTCCCCCATCCTTCTTCTGCAATGCCCTCGACTCAGCTTTTGTCCACCCTGAATTTGAATCAGATCTTTTCCTCTTCCACACTGCCTGGGTGCCACCATTGAGAGCCCAAGAGAGACAGGCTCACTGCTCTCAGTACCCGTGCCTGGCCCCACCTTGGCCTGGAGCAGCTGTGAGCAGCCATTACTGAGGAAGTCTCTCTGAGCCCTTAACTCTGGGCTGGAGCATGTTCAGTCACTCTGTTGGAATGGCATATACTCAGTCCAGTCACAGGTAGGAGTTGTGAGGGGATGGAGGAGGCTCAGTGCAGATAGAATCTTGGAGATTTGAGCTGTTAAGCTCTAGCAACTCTCTACAAAGCATGTGTGAACTGTGAAATTTCAAAGATTTATAACCTGGAGTTCAGACTCAAAAGGTAAATCCAAAGTAACTTTACAGAGCGGCATTACTGTGGATTTACCTGGAAGCAACTGAGATTAGAATCTAGCCCCTAGTGGCCACCATACTTTGGACTTTTATATTTTCTCTGACTTCGCAACACATACCTGGTGTTGTTAAATGTGCCAGCATTGTAACATACTTACTTTAGGCCGAGTGTCAACAACATATATGAAATTGCTTCCAGGATTTGCCTTTCTGATGGCCTGTAGCATCTGTTCATCCTCAAGGCACCGAGCACTGAAGCCAGACAAGGGCTGGCTGCTCCTGCAGATTGAGGCCTGAATTAAAACAAATCCCCCGTGTGTTTAATGTGCATTAATAATTTACTACACAAAGTTATTTACAAAACAGATCACTAGGAAATGAACAAAATAGCTCCATTACATGTACAATTAACAGGAAGAGTAGAGCAATATTATTAATTAAATGTAGCTGAATATTAATAATTTAATGTTGTTGTGTCTGTAGGCACCCGTATTCACACCCTACATATTACTGCAATGATTTTTGTATAAAATATGCTTTGTGAAATACCATTTGAAAACTAATATTCTGGTCAATAGTATCATTGTAAAATATATGTAACAATGCTGTATGTGAAATTATGGATGCTCACTGATATTATGCTTTAAAGTCTGTGACTAAAAGGTGTTTAAACCAGGCATGTCAGGAGGCGTTGATAAACGCCTTTGTTCAGGCAATGGAAAGAGTCCAACACCTCAAACCAGGTGTGGCCAAATTCAATGGGCTCTTCATTTGTTTAGAGGTTGCAGCAGGAAGAGATAATTTGCAGAGTAGCAACCACCAGCGGGGTCAGGGAACTATATGCTTATTGGGTGACTGTTGGTGTCCAGGCTGTGAGCTACAGCAGCAGAACATTTAAGGCACCAGGGTTACAGGGCAGGTGGTCACACACCCTCTCACCCCAAACCACAGCTCCACACTTACATTGTTATCCTTACAGTAGTAGGAAAGGGCTGGGAAACGTCTTCTGCTCCGGAATTTAGAGCTCCCCACAATGATGTGTGCAGTTGCAGATTTTGGTACGTACACTTCAGTAGGGTATGAGTCACAGACCTGCCAAAGGAAACTTTTGTTTGTCTGCTTGCTTTGTTTATTCAAATAGAACTTAGCATGAATGTTAACTTTAATCATCACCATTACAAAAACAAAATCACAATTACATACCACCCTCATTCTGAGGATCCTAAAGTGTTTCAAACATTAATTATGCCCCTGTGACGGGGTAGTTAATCCCCTTAATGGAAGAGGGCCTCAGAGTTAACCCACCCCCACCACTTGGCACGGTCCATTTAATATTTTGGAAGGCCTGATATATATAAGGACCAAGCAGATACCAGTAGAAAGAAAGTGGTTTGGAAATAAGGAGTGTTTGGAAGGAAATCCCATTACTGTTTCTTTAAGGGCCTAGGACCAGGAGCCTTGCAGAGTGGATGGCACAAGGCTCTCCTCTCTCTCTCAGCCAACTGGGATGAGCTTTAGGAAGGGACTAGTATATCTGCTGTCTCTCCTTCATAGCAAGGGAGACACCACTAAGAGGAGGTTGTCTGGTGCATCCTCTGAGTATTGACTGGGGGAAAGGAAGCTAGTTGAAAGAAAAGCTAGCTAAGGCCCTACAGCTTGTTTAAATCACAACCCTGACTCTAAGAGGAGTGGAAACCAGAAAGATTGTTTGAAGTACAACCCCATCTCCAGAAGGAGGGTGGGCATCAGTGTTAAGGAGAGAGAGGGTGGTTGTCTGCAGTACAACCCAGCTGCTGCCAGAGAAACTGCGTAGGATCTTAAGGAAGCTCCTCAGCAGCAGGCTGGGGAAAAGTCACACGAAGAGACAAAACTCCAGGGTGGAAGTAATGGAAGCTGTAGGCCTGAGAGAAAGGTGGACAAATGTGGGGGGAAAGAGAAGCAGCTCAAGGAAGTGACAAAAGATTGGCAGGAGTGGTCCTTAGCTGCCTAACGCAGGGTTCCTGGGCTGGAACCCAGAGGAGAAGGTGGACCTGGGTTCTCCTCCCCCAGCAATACGGAAGGTACAAGTCTTGGGACTGAAAGAGGCAAAGACAGCTGAATACTAGCTGGGGCTGGGGACCTTGGGCCTGGCATAAAGATTCTGGGTTTTCTGTTTGGACTTTTCTGTTACCCCAGAAGGAGACTGAACTGAAAGGTGACCAGGCAGGCGGGCCCAGCCATGGAAGCTGCAGACCATTGCAGAACCAGAACAGTGGAGAAGGCAGTACAAGAGCAGAAGAAGGCTTGCAATGCCATGTTCTGGCATGAGGCAGTGCTATGGTGTGTTCACCATGTGACAGCCTGTCACAGGACCTCTAGGAGATAGGAAATTATTATTATCATTATCCCAATTTTACAGATAGTAAATTTTACAATTTTACAATCATTATCCCAATTTTACAGATACCCGGGCTCAATGGGTAGTGATCAATGGCTCCATATCTAGTTGGCAGCCGGTATCAAGTGGAGTACCCCAAGGGTCGGTCCTGGGGCCGGTTTTGTTCAATATCTTCATAAATGATCTGGAGGATGGTGTGGATTGCACTCTCAGCAAATTTGCGGATGATACTAAACTGGGAGGAGTGGTAGATACGCTGGAGGGGAGGGATAGGATACAGAAAGACCTAGACAAATTGGAGGATTGGGCCAAAAGAAATCTGATGAGGTTCAATAAGGATAAGTGCAGGGTCCTGCACTTAGGACGGAAGAACCCAATGCACAGCTACAGACTAGGGACCGAATGGCTAGGCAGCAGTTCTGCGGAAAAGGACCTAGGGGTGACAGTGGACGAGAAGCTGGATATGAGTCAGCAGTGTGCCCTTGTTGCCAAGAAGGCCAATGGCATTTTGGGATGTATAAGTAGGGGCATAGCGAGCAGATCGAGGGACGTGATCGTTCCCCTCTATTCAACATTGGTGAGGCCTCATCTGGAGTACTGTGTCCAGTTTTGGGCCCCACACTTCAAGAAGGATGTGGATAAATTGGAGAGAGTCCAGCGGAGGGCAACAAAAATGATTAGGGGACTGGAACACATGAGTTATGAGGAGAGGCTGAGGGAGCTGGGATTGTTTAGCCTGCAGAAGAGAAGAATGAGGGGGGGTTTGATAGCTGCTTTCAACTACCTGAAAGGGGGTTCCAAAGAGGATGGCTCTAGACTGTTCTCAATGGTAGCAGATGACAGAACGAGGAGTAATGGTCTCAAGTTGCAGTGGGGGAGGTTTAGATTGGATATTAGGAAAAACTTTTCACTAAGAGGGTGGTGAAACACTGGAATGCGTTACCTAGGGAGGTGGTAGAATCTCCTTCCTTAGAGGTTTTTAAGGTCAGGCTTGACAAAGCCCTGGCTGGGATGATTTAACTGGGAATTGGTCCTGCTTTGAGCAGGGGGTTGGACTAGATGACCTTCTGGGGTCACTTCCAACCCTGATATTCTATGATTCTATGAAGCAGAAAAAGGGGAGTGCTATATATTCGTGTATCCAATAACTTTATGTGCCTATTTCAGTACACAGGATGAACAGGGGTTCTGGGAATGAATCAGGATTGTGTAGTAAAGAAAGGTATTGTCTGTAGGACCCCGTCTTATCAGTTGCAGAATTTGGAAGGTGTGCAAGGAAATTGCCTTTTCTCTTCCTGGCTGATTCATGGTTATACAGTTGAATGCTGTCCTGAGGAATCTGGCCTCTGCCACAGAGTTCCTAGGTGATGCTGGGCAAGTCACTTAAATTGAAGTAAGAAAAGGAGGACTTGTGGCACCTTAGAGACTAACAAATTTATTTGAGCATAAGCTTTCATGAGCTACAGCTCACTTCATCTGAAGTGTCTGCAGTCAGTGACTAACTGTATGTTCATCATTTTTGGGTGCCCAACATGAGACACCTGAGATTAGATTTGCAGAAGTGCTAAGTGCTCATAGCTGCAGCTGAAGTCACCAGGAGCTGTACTTTGAATATAAAAAGTGCAATCAAAATGCTAAGTTCTTTAGAAAAATCAGTTCCTAAGTATCTGTAACTGGGCATCCAAAATTGATGGACACTTGACAACTTTAGGTCTAAACCTCTCTGTGCTTCAGTTCTCCAGCTGTAAAACGGGGATAAAAATACCACCTACCATAGTATGAGGACGACCACAGAAACACTCAGGAGGAAATTAATAACTGTATATTCAGTGCTGGGTTTGGATATTGTGTGGTTAAGATCTGGGGGCACAAGCTGACTGAGGAGAAAAAGAAATATTTAATAACTACTCATTCCCTGATGAGGCAGGGATGCCATGGAAAAAATGTGATCATGTAATTAGCCACATAAGGGAGGCTGAACTGAGGTTACACATGCAACCTTAATGCTGGCATTTCCTAACTTGTAAGGGCTTGACTTTGCAACCTTAATGTTCTTTTAAGGTATTTCTTTTGGATGTTATTTTAATAGAGTTCCCTTTTCAGTGTTGGAAGAGAGCACTGAATTCTTGTAATTCTTTACCATTGTCACATGAGAAATTGGTTTTGCAACAATGAAGACTGGCTCCAATGTAGTTATTTTTGATTAAGTGAGATCAGATTCAGGCCTGTTTCTGGGGCATGAAAAAATGACTGATTTTTATGTATGTATATATGAAAAACACTTCTTTATTTATAATGTATATTACTTAATATTAAATAATAAAAATAACTACTTTGTCTCTTCCTTCTGTGTATCCTTTCCTCCTTTTTCTCCCTTACCCTGCCTTCATTACCCTTTTCTTCCCTTCTATGATCCATCTAGAAGAATCATTTCCAGTGCTTTTGGTGTCTAATTTCCCTTGCTTTTCTATAACATTTCATGATTCATCCTTCCTTCTGTGGCTCATTCTGATCCCTTACATTTAAAGTTGTGTCACACTAACCCTTAAATTTGTCCTAAACCAGAGGTTTTCAACCTCTTCCTTACCAGGTCCCACCTGTTTCTCTCTCCTCCTCCCTTATCATTTAGGAAGTGAAGGGTGGACACAACCCCTGACACCTGTTTGAAACACCAGCCCCACTCCCAGGGGTGGTTGTAATCCCCAGGTTGAGAGCCCCTGCCCTAAATTATGACTGCTATCATACTATTTCCACAATTCTATAATAAATTAAAGCTTTTTATATTAGAAACAAGAAAAAACAATTAACTTCTGGCAGAACATACAGTCCCCTCTGAGGAGGTCTCAAAATCCCAAGTGATCTACGTGTAGCATGTGTGTGCTCCAGTGCCAAGGCATAATGGGAGTGAGCTGACCTGTATCGACAGGCTGACTTCAGAACTTTAGTCTGTTATCTCTTTCCATTAGTGTTACTTCATCACATTTTTAAAGTTTGAATTGAACAAATTTAGGGCAGGATAGGAACATCAACTAGCTAGGTAGAAAGGAGTGGAATTAAGATTTGTGACTTCTCAGACCATTGTGAGAATATTCCATCACAAACAATTCTCAGCAGCACTGCATGTAATTTCAGGAACAAGAAGGTAAGATTAAGTGTTAAATTAATTCTTTCAAACTAATGGCTTGTGTAATTATTAGGTAGAAAAAAAAATTTTTTTAAATACTCACTAGCCCCAATTCACCAAAGCCATTATTGATGTGCTTAACTTTATGCATGTGCTTAAATCTGGCCCTGTGCAGCAAAGCAGTTAAGCATGTGCTTAAAGTGATTTTGACAAGTCACTTTATCTCCTTGTACTTCCATTCCACATGGGTAAAACAGATTATGAGTCCTTTCTCCCACTCTGTCTAACCTCTTCGGGACAGGGACTATCTCTTAGGATGCTATGTAGAGCACTTAACACCATGAGGCCCCTGCCTTGGTTGGGGCCTCTAAAATCTACTGTAATACAAATTATAATTACACACTTGGTAGTCTCTGTTTACATCACTGATCTGCCAATAGTTATTTGGAACGCCCATCCGATTATATTCTTTATTGAGGCCCACAAGCTTCCATCCTTGTTCTCGCTCTTCTTTATCTAATTTTGGGTTGAATGAGAAGCAGTAGAGCTCTTCATATTTCACTGAAAGAGAAAAAGAGGCAATAAGACAGGACAATAAATCTAAGCTGAGATCAAAGTCTCCAAAAGCAAAGCTGGTATGTTATTCTCTGTATGGGATGCTATTCTCTGTTATCCCATTCAGATCATATGTTTTGCTATGCAAAAGCCCACATACCGGCATCTAACTCCATAGAAGCTTACTTTGAAAGTAGTGGGCTGTTCTGCTGTTTGTGGCCCTTTGCCCCCTACTTGTATAGGCCTGTATTATCGATCCTACTTACAATATAGTAGCTCTCCCACACCTCTTTGCTGCTCAGTTGTAAACATTCTCATAGCTAGCAAAAGGGTGCAGTGTCAAAGCTAACATGCTTCCTTGAAAGGAGGAAAAACTAAGATCAAGAAAGGATCAACACATGTGGTCCAGCAGAATTCTTTTACCAGAGATAATTTAGTTGTTTTAATTAGTGGATTACAGAGCCAGTGGCAGAGACAGTGGACCAAATCCTGAAGTTTTCACTGGACTCAGTAATAATGCATCAATTCTTAAATCTTAACTCAAGTTTTACTCTGCCCTGACTCAAGTAAAATTTCTATTAACTCCATGGTTTGTATGAGTAAAGACTGGAAAATCTGTCCTTAAATGATTAGCAATGACATTCTAGCTACACAGACTACTTTGTAGCAGCATGAAAATATTATTTATCTAAATTATTGCATGTAAATTATTTCAAACTCTTGTTTGCATAATTATGCCAATTCTCACATTTCAGTTCATGAACGTACAATAAATATAATTTTAAATAGTTTTAACTTTGTTTTAAGAATAGCTGTATTTATGCATATGAAGTGACTTGACTGGATTCAAACACAGTATTTATATATAAACAGATATTTCATGGCCAAACTCCACTGCCAACTATTGTGTTCTGTGGATGAGATGATCCCACCAATCTGAATATAATCTGAAGAAAATTGGTTATAAGAACTATAACTCTAGCACATCAAAAGTTCATGTTTCATCCTCTCACTGTAAGGTCCGTATAGCTTTTGGATCAAAGATTTTAGTATATAAACGAACTGAAGTACACTGAATTCTGGTAAACTGAGTCACACCTGTTATCAAAACGTCACCATTTGATAAATCTGTTTCAGACTGTCTTGATTTCAGACAGGTTTAAATACAACCCTCAGTTACTTCTATTTTATGCCCTTGATAAGGAGAATAGGTCAAAAAATAGAGAATGGGGACTTATGTATGGCTTTAATAAAAATAGTTTTCATTTTAACTTCCATCCTCTTCTGCAGCAAGCATCTATTGTACTTCCATCATAGGTAATTTCTTTTTTTTTTTTTTTTTAGATTTAACAGAGCAATAAAGAGTAGTTTTAAGTTTCCATTAAATATATAGTATATGGAATCTAGGGATAAAAAATAAAGCTAAACACGTCTGTGGCTTCTAATAACATGGTTTCCATAACTAAAAAGCTGGTGTGGTTTGTAATGTTATCACAGTTCCTTGGGGAACTCAGTTCCCTCTTTCGAAACAATTATTAACAAATATGAGGACAGAAAGGAAGGAAAGTTCCCTTGTTAAATCTTTGTGACTCAGGCACTGAACTCAAGATCAGCAAAGTCATTATTTAGAGAAAGAGAAGGAAGACCACTGAAACGCAGTTTGATAGATCAAACTTCGTTCTGTTTGTTTTTTTATGGCACAGGTTTCATAAACCTGTGTCTCATTTGCTTATGTCTCATTTGCTAATGTACAATTGTTACTTTTTTCAGGTTAAGCTTAACTTCAAATAACAAATTTGGCTGGAATCTTGACATTTATTTTGCACCCCAGTTGCCAAAGCATGCATTAAACTAGCTGAATAAAACTACACTTCAGATATTTCCTTTCCATTGTACCTACTCACAAAATTAAGTGGAAACTTTCACAACTACTGTATATCAAATTAAAATATACATATCTTGGTTGTATGTAAATCTAGCCTGCCTATCATCTCAGGTTTTAATATCATATGGTGGTACATACAGGTTTTCCAAATGCATCAATTGTGCCTTAAAGCTTAGTTAACATATACCTTCTGTAATATTTAGGACCTGACACAGACACAGTATTATAGTCATTATGCCAAATCCTGCTTTTGTACAACTTCAAATGTTACTGTGACACAAAGTAGCCTAAGCTAAAGGGCGAAATTCTGCTTTCAGTTGTACCTGTGCATGCTCCATTAGAAGTTGACAGGTACAACTGAAAGTAGAATTAGACCCTTTAGTTTGGTTTGGCCACCTTATGTCACAAACTGTTACAATACGTTACACAATATCACTACAGAAGATGGGATCTGACACAGTTTCAGGTACGGTATAATGCACGAAAAAAGGCAAGTGGGGGAGGGAAAATAGAGCCTGACTCAGCCAGAGTTCCTCCTGGGGAAGACTCGCAGTCCACAACTGTACAGCAATTATATTACCCTTCGAGAGGGTGCAGCACTCTGGCAGATGGAAACCAAGGATAGAAAAGTTGCAACCACTAGTATTGGTAAGCCAAATCTTGCTCACTTTACAATCAGTCCTTTCAACATCAGGTGAGTAAGATTCCCATCCCCCCCACAATGTCAATGTCAGATGCTTTGCTGCTAGAGGCAAAACATGATGTTGCTCTGCAGCAATGTCACCCACCTGGTGGAAAATGTGACTGGATCTGCAGAGCACTGGATAGCCTCAGAAGGAAAGGGGAGGGGCAGTCCTTGCAAGGGTAGGTCTCTAATCCCCATAGGCACTCTGCCACTCATTGGCCAGCCAGAGGGAGATAGGAGCCAATGGACTCCCTGTCCTTCCCCATTAATTTAAATCCTTGCCCAAGATTTTTCTTGCCTCTTGTTCCACTTTAGTTGACCCCCAACCTCCCCTTCTGTAGTTATACTGTAAAGACTGTATTTTTAGGATACTGTGGGTCTGACCAATTGCCTGTTTTAGAGGTCAGGAAATATTTTTCCAATTAGGAAAAAATTGGTAGAAGCCTGGTAGGTTTTTTTTGGCTTCATGACAGCAACATGGAAGGACAGTTAGGTTCAATAGGAATAAGATTTAGAAGTCTCATCTCAGTAATTTGTAAGAATATTTTATTCTACACAACTTGCAGACAGTGTCCAGTGCAAATAAAAGGCCAAAAGGGTCATTGCCCAGAAATAATAGACCTTAGGTCTGTGGGAGCAAGAGAAAGACCATAAGCCTTTGCAGACAGAGATCTCTTTGGTATTGTCTTTCTCCCTCATGGGAGAAAGGGATGAGATGTTTCAGCAGAATGAGCTAAATCCAAGGTGAAGGCTGAGGAATATCTGTCCTGAGTTATGGGATATCTTATAGGAGGCCTGTAAATCCCACACTAGACTCACTTAAATGAGGGAGATGGGGTAGATAATGTCCTTCCCCAGTATTAAGTTTAATAGAGTTGTGGCCTGCCACTTAAATCCATCCTTTTGTCTGTCCTCATTCACAGAGGTGTCCTGCTCAAGTTGCTTCTGCTATGCTACCAGTGGATCTGCCCAACAGGCATCTTCTCAAAAGCTGCCTACCATTCAATTTGCATTCCTGGCCTCATTTGTTCTTCATTGTGGCATTCCAGAGAACAGCAACACCAGGGTCAAAATCCCACCTCTCCACGGGCATTAATATACACCTTCTGTCCTGTCAAGGGAAGGAGCATTACAGGATCTCATTTTTCCAGTCTTGTATGAAAACATGATGAGTTCCTGAAGCCAGTGGAGTTAATCCAGATTTACATCAGCGTAACCAAGAGCTTAAATTGATTAATTGTTTCTATAACTCACTCCAATTATTTTCACCCTACATCACCTAGCTTACTCAAATACACGCACTCCAGTGTACATATTCCCCTCATGGTATTCCAGTTATAGTAAGCACTTTACCAACTTCAACTGCTGCTGTGGCTTGCTATGCAATTTTTTCTAACACACCAGAGAAAATCGACTCTAACAAGCTGTCTTGTTGCAAGATGAAAATTAACATTGATGTTGTCAGTTTTGTGTGAGCTATAGCAATGTTTCCTTTACACAAAGTTCAAAATAACATTAAAAGACAGAGTTGGACCTTGTGCTTCAGACTGGATTGTTTGCATCAAACCAGTCTGCGTCCAGCATTCTTTCCAATTAATTCTTAAATTAACAGCACAAACACAGGAGGAGATGCTGGACTCCGCTACAATACTTGGATTCTCACTTTTAAGGGTAAAGGGTCAAAATTACCTTCGGTTGCACAGTTGAATTCAGTATTTTAAACTGACAGTAGGTCCTAGATTTGAACATGATCAAAATCCAGATACAGGTGAATCAAAACACAGATTCACTGGTAGACTAAATCACTGCCAAGCTGCCAACCTGCATATTCTTTATACAACACCTGCTCTGCAGCTTTTCTTTGATACCTGGCAATCTGTGTTCAGTGTAAAAAGAAGCAAAACATAATGAAATCTGACATATCTGCAAGATATAGTGTAGCCTTTTAGCAACAGCTGTAAACTGAACAGGTTATACATTCAAAGCACATTCAATAAGGCCCCCAAGTTTAACTTTTAACTAAACATCCTTAAAGCAGGTGTTATTCACAAAGTAATGTCATACCACTGATGCTGTACAGCTAAATCTTTCTCAGGAGATACTTACTTAACACAAACTCTTCACTTTTTAAGCAATTTTTTGTGTACAGCCAGCACTTACCATTATTTTAATTATATCCCATTGTGCTCATTGCCCTATTTCCCCATCACACAATTTACATGGTATATTTGGATGAAATATATCTCCTAAAACTGGGAAGCACAAAGGCAGCTACATTTTCCCCATTATTTTCTATCCCCTTCAGGGCAAAGATAATCTTTTTTTCTGTGTTTGCACAGTGCTGTGCACAATTGGAGCTTTTGGGTGCTATGATGATGTAAATATTTACTCCTAATGTGTCTAATTCAGTTAAGTTAATTCTCTTAAGTTTTATACTTAACCAATTAGTTTATCTTGAAAGAATAAAATAGGATCATTATATCCTCGTATTGACCCTAGATGTAATAGAAGTGAAACTGCAAAGTACAGACAAGGAATATACAAGCATGAAAACATCCAAGGCTATTGAATTTCATTTTACCTTCCTTGAACATTTTTCCAGAAATTTAAATACAGGGGTGAAAAAAAGAGAGGCTGTTTTGTATATTGCAGCTGTGATATCAGAACAGTAATATTACAAATGAAAGGTCAGATTGTTTTCTGCACTCCTCAGCTACATTGTGCTTGGATCCTGAGCAGGTGTGAAGCAGGGTGTCATAAATATAAAGGGAAGGGTAAACCCCTTTGAACTCCCTCCTGGCCAGGGGAAAGCTCCTCTCACCTGTAAAGGGTTAAGAAGCTAAAGGTAACCTCGCTGGCACCTGACCAAAATGACCAATGAGGAGACAAGATACTTTCAAAAGCAGGGAGGAGGGAGAGAAACAAAGGGTCTGTCTGTCTGTCTGTATGCTGGTCTTTGTCGGGGATAGACCAGGAATGGAGTCTTAGAACTTTTAGTAAGTAATCTAGCTAGGTATGTGTTAGATTATGATTTCTTTAAATGGCTGAGAAAAGGATTGTGCTGAATAGAATAACTATTTCTGTCTGTGTATCTTTTTTGTAACTTAAGGTTTTGCCTAGAGGGGTTCTCTATGTTTTTGATTCTAATTACCCTGTAAGATATCTACCATCCTGATTTTACAGGGGGGATTTCTTCATTTCTATTTACTTCTATTTTTATTAAAAGTCTTCTTGTAAGAAACTGAATGCTTTTTCATTGTTCTCAGATCCAAGGGTTTGGGTCTGTGGTCACCTATGCAAATTGGTGAGGCTTTTTATCCAACATTTCCCAGGAAAGGGGGGGTGCAAGTGTTGGGAGGATTGTTCATTGTTCTTAAGATCCAAGGGTCTGGGTCTGTAGTCACCTAGGCAAATTGGTGAGGCTTTTTACCAAACCTTGTCCAGGAAGTGGGGTGCAAGGTTTTGGGAAGTATTTTTGGGGGGAAGGACGCATCCAAACAGCTCTTCCCCAGTAACCAGTATTAGTTTGGTGGTGGTAGCGGCCAGTCCAAGGACAACGGGTGGAATATTTTGTATCTTGGGGAAGTTTTGACCTAAGCTGGTAAAGATAAGCTTAGGAGGTTTTTCATGCAGGTCCCCACATCTGTACCCTAGAGTTCAGAGTGGGGGAGGAACCTTGACACAGGGAGAGGTTCATTTCCTCCTGTTGTCATGTGCAAATCTGCACATAGCAAGAAACAATTTAGACTAGTGCCACTGGCCAGAATGAACTGAGGAGAAAAAAGGCAGAAAATCTCTTCCAGGTTTTGTCACTTAAACTAGATCCAGCCACTTGAGGCACAGAATGGGATGACATTCACAGAAGACTGTACAATTGTTCACAGCATGATCATGGGTATTTGAGCTTTTTGTGGTTGGCTTCAGTGAGGTACAGCCACATTTCAAAACTGCGTGGAAAGGTTATAACTGTTAAGTTCTTTCAGACTTTCCATAAGGGGTAGCCTGCCATCAGCCCAGTGCTCCCCAGCTAGTGCATGCTAGTGACCTCTACCTAGCCATGCCCCTGGGCTTTGTTTGTTCTACTGACAGCATTAGTTGTCCCACTATATATGCGCTCACTAGCACTTACTGCCACATTATGGCTGCCTCTTATAGGAGTGCTGCTGGTGGAGCGAGGGGAGCCTCTCCAGGCAGATTACAAACAGAAACTGCCCTTGCCCTGATGGTGAGATGATGTCAGCATCTTTTTCAAACAGCAGGCAACAGTCCATTAACAACCTCAGCTCCTGTCAAAGGGCATTCAATCAGGCTAATTGCTTACAAGCATTAACGTCTAGTGCTGCGCTCCCCTTGCATACCTGGCCGGGCCAGACGTATTAAAGATATGTAAACATCATGGCAATCTCTTTCCTGAGGTATGATAAGCTGGATGATCTGGAAGTTCTTGCAGCGAATCAGCAAAGGGCAGCCAGTAGCAGTTGTGGCCTGTTTCTCAATGGAGGAAATTTGGCTGTGAAGAATCTGAAAAAAAGACAAAAATTGGGTATGCCAAGCAAAAATGACATCTGTGGTAAGGAGACACAACACTACACTGATTTCCCATGGTCTAAACAATAGCAAAGACATTTCAGAGAATCCTCACAACCCTCCTCTTATAGCTCTTTTCTCCACTTCCGGGCACAAATGATAAGAGACTGATATTGCTCCTAACATAACCCAGAAGAAAAAGTTCTCTAATGCTTCAGATATTCAAAGGGTGTTACAAACACTAACTAATTCATGACATCCAATTGCTTTCTTAAAATGTAAGTTAGTGGTTGTAAAAGAGACAGCTCTTTGGATCCAGCTTTATAATGAGAAGTTGAAACAGCACCAGTGATATGAATAAAAAAAAATCTAGGCCAAAACTTTGCCCCTCTCCACTGGCAAAAGCTCATATATCAGATCTTATTTAATGATACTGTACAATAAAGGGGAGGACTAGAGGGAAGAATGACAGAATTTATGGTTAATGTCAAATGGGCAATAGAATTAGTAACTAAACTACAGATAGACACTCAATATAGTGAGGAAGGCACATCAGTACCTAGATAGATTTGATAAAATAGACAGACAAATTGGTTGAGACACAAAACAGGTAGACAGAGATACAGTAACTCCTCACTTAAAGTCATAGATTCATAGATTCAAGATACTTAGAGGCCAGAAGGGTTAGTCACCTCCTGCATAATGCTGGCCACAGAACCCCCCCCAAAAATGGGGGACGAGGGGGGGGAATTCCTTCGTTACGTTGCTGATCAATTAGCCCATCTAGGAACCATGCTCAAGGATTGGGCTATTTAATGAATATTTAATTAAAACATGTTATCATCATCCTGCTAATGCTGTTTTGTTGTGTGTCAATTAGGGAACATGCTCGTTTAAAGTTGTGCAATGCTCCCTTATAATGTTGTTTGGCAGCCACCTGCTTTGTCCAGTGCTTGCAGGAAGAGCAGCCCGTTGCAGCTAGCTGGGGGGGGGGGCTTGGAACCAGGGTTGACCGGCAGCCCGCCATCAGCTCCCTGCTCCCCTAAGTTCCCTGTGCGGCATCCGCCCAGCAGGCTATCAATTGCCGGCAGTTCAGCTGAGCCTCCCCCCGCTGCCATGTGCTGCTCCTGCCCTCTGCCTTGGAGCTGCTCCCTGGAGCCTCCTACTTGCTGTGCAGGGGGGGAAGAAAGGGGCTAATGTCAGGGTGTCCCCCTGCTCCTGCACCCCACTTACCCCTTCTCCATAGAGTCGGGGGGAGGAACACGAGAGGGCTCAGGACGGAGGGAGCTTACTGGCCGCAGCTGCTGTCTCAACTTCTTGATCTACTTAAAAAGGCAGGTGTCAGAGCAACAGCCGTGTTAGTCTGTATTCGCAAAAAGAAAAGGAGTACTTGTGGAGAAAGGAGAAAAGTAGTCCTTTTCTTTTTAAAAAGGCAATGTACTTAGAGTGGTGTCAGTGTACTTAAAGGGGCAATGCACGTCTCTCTCTCTCATACAGGGTGTGTGTCTGTCTCTGTCGGCCATGCTGTCTCCCCTCCCTCCATTTGTGCTACCTTGTAGAGTGTGAGGCTGCATTAACAACAATGTATTAACCCTTGACGGCTCAGCCGAATGCTAGTTCATCATTTAGCAGTAAGGGATTTCCTGGGAAATATCCCAACCTCTTCCACCCTCTAACTTCACCACCTCAACCAAGCTTCACAATCATCCTTGCTGTGTACAATATTAAATTGTTTAAAACTTATACTGTGTTTATATAGTTTTTTGTCTGGTAAAAAAAATTTCCCTAGAACCTCCCCCCCTCCCCCATTTACATTAATTCTTATGGGGAAATTGGATTCGCTTAACGTCGTTTTGCTTAAAGTCACATTTTTCAGAAACATAACTACAATGTTAAGCAAAGAGTTACTGTACTAAATTACCTCTCTGTGCGGAAGGGGGAGAGAGAGAAATAACTGATACTGCTCAGACAGCTATTGATATCAGCATCTTAACCTTCATGTAGGAACACAAATTCAGAGCAGCTCAGGATTTCTGGACTATTCTTCCCCACAGGATACCACTAATTCTAGTTTGAAACAGTGTTCCCATTGGGATTACAGTAGTACCCTAATATTTTTATGGGGGTCCTTACATTTCTATTCCTGTGTTTCTAATCCCAATTCTCTTATAAAATTTTTAAATTTATCTAGGTAATTAAGTTTTCATCTAAAATTCAGATTCTGAATGGATAAAGGAATATACATCAGCTCAGTTATCAACTTTAAGCCAATTATTTTACAAATGTTAACATTATTAATTGGTACAATGCCATAGGTTTACATAATATTTTACTATGTAAACTATTTTTATTGTAAAATAAGATAAGATCGCCACTACAAGAAGCTTATGTGTAAAAATTAGGTCTAATACATAATCATACCCAGGTTTCTTTACGAGTTTCAGACACATTTTCCACAAAAATAACATGAGTAGCTGTTAAATACAGAGTCCCCAGTGCAGCTTTCCTGGAAGATATACGATCAATCAAGCGGACATTTTCCACCTAAACAAAAAGATGACATATAAAGAAAGAAAGTTAGATTAAGACATGCAAGTCTGATTTTACTGTAGAGCAATCCCATTGCTTATACTTGTACCCATAACAACAAAGTGAATCAAATATAGTTTTATATGCTAAAATATACAACACATTTTACCATGTAAACAAAGAAGAACACTAACTGAATTATAACAGAGGTTGTTCCATTTATATAAACAAAATGAATTCTAAGACTAAAAATATTTTGAAGAAAACAAATGACTGCATGAGTGAAACATACAAATATTACATTATACCTGGTACTCTGGTCATGCCTACAGATTTCATTCAAGGAAATTATCTTCTTTTTATACCATTTGTCATAAACATAAAGGGAAGGGTAAACCCCTTGGAAATCCCTCCTGGCCAGAGAAAAATATCCTCTCACCTGTAAAGGGTTAAGAAGCTAAAGGTAACCTCGCTGGCACCTGACCAAAATGACCAATGAGGAGACAAGATACTTTCAAAAGCTGGGAGGAGGGAGAGAAACAAAGGGTCTGTCTGTCTGTCTATATTCTGTCTTTGCCGGGGATAGACCAGGAATGGAGTCTTAGAACTTTTAGTAAGTAATCTAGCTAGGTATGTGTTAGATTATGATTTCTTTAAATGGCTGAGAAAAGAATTGTGCTGAATAGAATAACTATTTCTGTCTGTGTATCTTTTTTGGTAACTTGAGGTTTTGCCTAGAGGGGTTCTCTATGCTTTGAATCTAATTACCCTGTAAGGTATCTACCATCCTTATTTTACAGGGGGGATTTCTTTATTTCTATTGACTTCTATTTCTATTAAAAGTCTTCTTGTAAGAAAACTGAATGCTTTTTCATTGTTCTCAGATCCAAGGGTTTGGGTCTGTGGTCACCTATGCAAATTGGTGAGGCTTTTTATCCAACATTTCCCAGGAAAGGGGGGGTGCAAGTGTTGGGAGGATTGTTCATTGTTCTTAAGATCCAAGGGTCTGGGTCTGTAGTCACCTAGGCAAATTGGTGAGGCTTTTTACCAAACCTTGTCCAGGAAGTGGAGTGCAAGGTTTTGGGAAGTATTTTGGGGGGAAAGATGCGTCCAAACAGTTCTTCCCCAGTAACCAGTATTAGTTTGGTGGTGGTAGCGGCCAATCCAAGGACAAAGGGTGGAATATTTTGTACCTTGGGGAAGTTTTGACCTAAGCTGGTAAAGATAAGCTTAGGAGGTTTTTCATGCAGGTCCCCACATCTGTACCCTAGAGTTCAGAGTCGGGGAGGAACCTTGACACCATTGTATTTATTTTCTTTAACAAAACAAGCAAAAAGTACATCTAGACCCATATTCTGCCACCAAATGCATGCAGCTCCCATTGATCTCAGTGGAAGCCGTGTGTGCGTTCCATGTCTTGTCTTCAGTAATATACATGCAACCCCATTCAATTGACAGGATGAGTGACTTTAATCTGGAATTTGGGGCAGATGAAATTAGGGATGTGAATTTGACCCTAAGGTTCTTGTTTTGCTTTGAAAGGTGTGGCAGCAGAGAATACAGTTTATTCCCCACCAAAATCCCACCGGGTAACCATAGCACTACTGGTTCTTAGACTAGTACAGAATGACTACAAGGGGAATAACATTGAAAACAAGCAAACTCAATATTAGCACAGCCAAACTACATGTAAATAATGAGGGAAGCTAGCCTCAGCATGGAAAAAATGCACAGAAAAAAACAGAGTTTAAACCAGTTTGTAACCAGAAAATGTTCAGATAAATACACTCCACAATGCAAAAGTATGACAAAATGATGTTCCCCAAGACCTCCAAAACCAAGTTCATTTGATGCTGCACAAAATGACTGTTTATACATAGGGGAGGGGGGCGTGATGTGTGACAGGAATTTAGAGCTACCTGAATCTCCACTTAGATTTTCTGATGTATTTCAGTATTAATAAAATAAATAATAAACCCTAAGGTTATGAATGAGCTGCTAAAGAACACATTAGGAGTGCATGACTTATCAGTGACCTTCAGCAGACAGTGCTCTTAGGCACTGAGAGAATTTTACAGAACGTCAAAGGAGACTGAGTCCATTTGCCCACCTAAAATGTAGGAATTCTGTGGGTTTAACAAAACTCCTGACTACCAAAACCTACATAATCGGTTCATGATCAGGATTGTCACCAGATTTGCCTGTTACTTTGGGGTACGCTCATTTATTAGGTTTCAGAGGGGTAGCCATGTTAGTCTGTATCAGCAAAAACAACGAGGAGTCTTTGTGGCACCTTAGAAACAAATTTATTTGAGCATAAGCTTTTGTAGGCTATAACCCACTGCATCAGATGCATGGAGTGGAAAATACAGTAGGCAGGTATAAATATACACCACATGAAAAGATGGGAGTTGCCTTACCAAGTGGGGAGGTCAGTGCTAACGAGGCCAATTCAATCAGGGTGGATGTGGCCCATTTTCAACAGTTGACAAGAAGGTGTGAGTATCAGAGGGAAAATTACTTTTTGTAGTGACCCAGCCACTCCCAGTCTTTATTCAGGCCTAATTTGATGGTGTCAAGTTTGCAAATTAATTCCAGTTCTTCAGTTTCTCATTGAAGTTTGTTTCTTTAGTTTTTTTGTTGAAGAATGGCGACTTTTAAGTCTGTTATTGAATGTCCAGGGAGATTGAAGTGCTCTTCTACTGGTTTTTGAACATTACAATTCTTGATGTCTGATTTGTGTCCATTTATTCTTTTACATAGACACTGTCCGGTTGTACATGGCAGAGGGGCATTGCTGGCACATGATGGCATATATCACTTTGGTAGATGTGCAGGTGAATGAGCCCCTGAAGGTGTGGCTGATGTGGTTAGGTCCTATGATCGTGTCCCTTGAATAGCTGCTAGTGAATATTTGCTTCAGGTTGGGGGGCTGACTGTAAGCAAGGACTGGCCTGTGTCCCAAGGTCTGTGAGAGTGAGGAATCGTCCTCCAGGATAGGTTGTAGATCCTTGATGATGCACTGGAGAGGTTTTAGTTGGGGGCTGTAGGTGATGACTAGTGGCGTTCTGTTACTTTCTTTGCTGAGCCTGTCCTGTCGTAGGTGATTTCTGGGTACCCTTCTGGCTCTGTCAATCTGTTTCTTCACTTCAGCAGGTGGTATTGTAGTTTTAAGAATGCTTGATAGAGATCCTGTAAGTGTTTGTCTCTGTCTGAGGTATTGGAGCAAATGCGGTTGTATCTTAGGGCTTGGCTGTAGACAATGGATCATGTGATGTGGTCTGGATGAAAGCTGGAGGCATGTAGGTAAGTATAGCGGTCAGTAGGTTTCCGGTATAGGGTGGTGTTTATGTGACCGTCGCTTATTTGCACTGTACTGTCCAGGAAATGGATCTCTTGTGTGGACTGGTCTAGGCTGAGGTTGATGGTGGGGTGGAAATTGCTGATATCTCATCATGGAATAGGGATTATAAATTCTAATTCTATAGTATGAGACAACATATTCATGTAATGTTTATGAAAAATTTTGTAAGTGAGTTCCAGTAGTTCATGGATTAGGGATCCAATCTTACGGGGTTCCAAGGGTTTCTTTATAGACTGAGGTTAATCTTTCTCTATCCAATGGGACTCAGTCTAGAAGATACCATCAGAGATGCTTAGTTTTGCAGTTCTCAAACTGTGGATTTGTGTCTCCAGAGATAACATGCTTGTTAATGACAGGTTTCAGAGTAGCAGCCGTGTTAGTCTGTATTCGCAAAAAGAAAAGGAGTACTCGTGGCACCTTACAGACTAACCAATTTATTTGATGCATTCGATGAAGTGAGCTGTAGCTCATGAAAGCTCATGCTCTAATAAATTGGTTAATCTTTAAGGTGCCACTAGTACTCCATGCTTGTTAATGTTAGAATATAGATATTCAGGCCTGCCTGTAAAGGCGCATAAGTTAAGAACACAGGTGTATTTTTAATCACTTAGCTAGTTATAGAGGTATAAGACAAAGAATCAAAATTACAAGTCTGCCTGTGTATGGGCCTTCTCTCACTAGGCTAGTCTGAGGCCTTGTTCTTACGCTAAGGCCTTTGGCTCATCCTCACATTCCAAACCAGTCACACTGAAATAAGGTGGTATTGGGCTGTTAGGAAGACAATCCTGTCCTGATAGTGCCCATCACCACCATCCTGTCCTGATAGTGCCCATCACCACCAGCTAAAGAAACAGATCTTAAGATGGTTAAAGAAAACTTAGTCTGATAGCATCCTGTCTGGCAAGAAATCACTTATCAATGGTTGTGAAACCCTCATTTCTATATTGTTTTATCTGTATTGCCCCCACCTTTCTATTGTTTATTTGTCTGGTTCTCTAATTGTTTCTGTCTGCTGTATAATTAATTTTGCTAGGTGTAAGTTAATTAGGGTAGTGTGATATAATTGGTTAGAGAATTATGTTACAATGTGTTAGGATTGGTTAGTTTAATTTCAGTAAAATGATTTGTTAAGGTATAGTTGAGAATATTACTATATAAACTGGGGTCAAACAGGAAATGAAAGGGGAAATTGGAATCATGCTTGCTAAGTGGGGGGGTGGGAAACGGGAATAGGGAATGGGGAACAGGGACACAAGCAAGGCTCTGCGGCATCAGAGCTGGGAAGGGAGACACTGGGGAACCGATTCTATTGGCGTATAGAGATGCCCTTCACAACAGTCGGACTTTCGGAATATGCTTGCTTGGAAACTAACCCCAATGAACATCGCATTGTCTGCACTTCGGACTTCTGGTCTTTTGTTGCTTGCTGTCTGTATGACAAGAACCAGGGAAGTGGGAGGGTTGAGGGAAAGCCCTCTAACAGTTAACAGCAAAAATGTTTTAAAATAAATAAATATATAAAGGTGAGAAATAAGAGACCTCAACTCTATTGTCCCTCTGCAAATTTGTGTACACATAGTCAATCCCTTACCTCTCTCTAAAAATGCAAAGATTGTTGGGGGCAGAATAGATCTGGACAAGGAGAAGTCTG